TCACTGTTGTTCTATACAACGCGTCCAGTCATTGGATGCCACTGCCCACCTCACTGCGCAGCTGCCTGAGCTAGATCTAAATCTGACTACTCTTGGTGACGCTGGTGTTGTTGATGTCCGGGACGACAATTTTCCGGACAACCCGGATGGCAGGGAGGAACCACTGCCTGGACCGGCCGCTGGTCGAAAAGTCCTCGAGGCCAAATTAGTGGAAGAAGTGGATAAAACATTTATAAAACTCCTTACTCCTGGGCTGAAGTGGGACGGCTCCTCTTTTGCAGTTCCTCGCGGGGAATATCGCTCTGTGAATACCATGGCCGTGGAGGTTGGCAGCGATGAGTGGTTGACCTCCCTCTGGCAGGACATGTCTGGACTTTTGATGCTTTTGCCGTCGGAAGAAAAGGACCCACCTGGCTACGTCCCACCCCTGATGCGGCGCTCACCGCCTCTCATGACTTGCCCCAACATTCCCTTTTCTGTGCACCTGAAGTCTTTCCAGGATTTAGATACACTTGATTTGCGTTGATATTTTGACTGGCATCAAGTGTCCCTTCCTTTTTGTACAAAAGTGTCTTTTCTAGGAAAAAGCTGTGATTAGGTGACAGAAAGTTGCTGAGTTCTTACTATTGTGGGACTTTTGTTGTGTCCTTCGCACTGTGCAGTTGGCCACATGTGCTCACCGGCGGAACATCACACAGACATCAGTTTGAAACTGGTATTGAATATCAAAACGTTTGCCTCATTGGCTACAAGAAATATCCAAATCGGGGTACAGCATATGCGATATGATGGCTGACAGTCCTCCGGTGTAGCATTTCGCCACCATCTTTTAGCCAGGTAGGCGGCAAATCTTCCGCCGAATTCTCCCGTCATCGGTCCTTCTCTAAGCGTGGTCACGAAATTCCACCCCTGCTAAACGATAACAAAATCTTCCTCATCGATGACGCTGACAGGACGGAGTTTTTTAGTGTTTTCTTTGCAAAAAACCTTAATACTAAGTCCCAACCAGTCTCTTTCTTTCGTTCACTTTCAGATAGGACACTGAGTACAATCGATGTCTCCTCAGATCTAATTAAGAAACACGTAAGTCGTTTGAAAAACTCACACCGTTGAGGAACGGACAGGATTCCAAATTCGATTATTTAACAAGCATCCGACCTCCCCATATTGTTTAGTCCTTCTCGGTTTATATTTCGAGCAGATTTTTCCCCGAACCATGGAAAACTTCAATTATCATTCCTTTCTTCCTGTCTGGATCTCAGTCCGATGTTAATAACTATCAGGGAGTGCACAAAACCCCGCCTCTATCAAGACTTCTTAAAAAGATTCTTTTCAATGAAATTCTTGGTTTCTGTCCAGCTAATCAGATTCAGCACTCTAATCAGCATGGATTTCTACCCCAAGTATCGTGCGAAACCTTCCACTCAGTCTTTCTTAATCTAAACATTTCTCTTCCTAATGCACAACAGTCAGTGATAGTTATCTACTTTGATCTCACCAAGGCCGCCGACGAGGTGCTACCTAGATGGTAACATTGGAAGCCCTCGGCATCGGGCCTCGTGTACTCGACTTCATCGGGTCCCACTTATCCAACCGCTTTCAGATGGTCATGATTGGTAATAGCTACTGGACACCTTACTCGATCACGAGTGGCGTTCTCCAAGGCACGATTCTGGGTCCGCCACTCTCCCTTCTTTACATCAATGATGTTTCGACTGAAATTGGAAATTCGCAAACGCTTATTTACGCCGATGGCCCCAAGTGTGTTTACTCATATTCTAACGACACGGCAAATATTTGGGTTGAGAAAATTAATGTCGATTTACTGTGCTTGTGGAGATGGAGTTCAACATGGCAGATTGAGTTTTCATTGTCGAAGTGTAGTTTCATGGGAAGGAGAATTGTGATCGAGCACCGGAACATTCTGTTTCTTGTTTTGAGCTTTCGAACTCGTGCGGGAGTCCATCGTCAGAGATAGTAGCAGCAACAGAACAAGCGTTGGTTATAGAGCGTGATAACCAATCATCGATCGATGGCTCAAGACTGGAGGCGACTGCTCGGCGCTCTGATAAATCGATCGAGTTTCACGTCTTTTGGCCCTTCCATGCTTTCTGGTCCCCTAGTTTTTCGGAATCACCCACTCAGAATGCTTCGCCAAAAAGGACTGAGGTTTAAGTTATACAAATAAGCTCACTTTATCACTTCATGCAGATAGAATCTTCGCAAAAGCTTGGCAGATATGTGGGTTCATATCACACGCTTATTCCTTTCAGAAATAAAGCTAAGACTTTATTAAATGTTTTTTCTTCCCGTCCTCGAACGCTGCTGTCCTTTCTCTGGTTTAATGAATGACTGTGGCCGTGATAAAATCAAAAATGTTCGGAGTTTTTTTTATACCGAGAGATATCCATTGTGGAACGCCAAGTTTCAATGAATTAGAAGACTCGGAGCTGGCCTCTGTTTCCTGCTCCTCACTAAATCTAACTCTTATCTTCCCCGCACTGACATTCTCACTCCGAGAGATCAGTCTTAGGCCACACTTAACTCCCCATGATGATTCCGCCGCCTCCTTGCTCTATATCTTAGCGCTCCTTCCTTTTTGAATCCAAATAGGTCTTCCTCCGTAATAATCTTCCATTAGAACTTAAGTGGTTGCGTAGGCTATCGGTATTCAAATCGAAGTCACGGAAGCACCTTACACCGGAGAGCATAAAGTCGCTATTGACCGTTTCATTCCCAAACAATCAAATTCTGGACTTTTAAAAGGGTCCTCCTATGATGTAATGGCAGATCATACGTGTTTTGCTTGTTCGTAAGAACGATCGGTGAGCGCCTCCTACCGTTGTATATTCCCCATCGAAACCGACAGGACAACAGGCCCGTGGCCGAGTGGTTAGAGGCGTTGGACTTCCAACTAATAGGTCGCGAGTTCGAGCACCAGCTGTTCCACACTTCGGGGTTGGCTATGACTGACTGACTACGGCTAATAAGCCAGAAATGGCCATTCCAGCCTCCCTTGTCTTTGTTGGTAATGCCATTCTGCCTATATAATGTGCCGCTGTGCGGCTGCTGGTTGGGCTTGAGAGAGAGCCCGTAAGGCATAACGGAACCAGTGAGTTCTGTAAGGACGATCGGTGAGCGCCCCTCTACCCCTCCCACTCATATTTTTACAACCGCCCGTTTTTAACTAGTTACTAAACGCACTGTTATTTCTGCTCCCCTGAAGCGAGGCTTTAAGTTATTTTTATGCCATCTCATTTTGACCTTTAGAGATCTGTTGACGATCACAGGGTATCCTCTGTTTTCGCCATCCGCTAGTAGTTTGTTCGGTCAGCAAGAAGTCTTATGGTCGCATCTCCCAACGCTTTGATGACCGCCGCAGCCTTTCATGTCCCCTCCTCCGCTGGACTCCAAGCAGACAGTGACCGATCGCGTTTAGGGCCACCTTGACGGTTGCTTCTGTTATAAGCGCAAAATACTATGCTCGAATCTGCAGCCAATAGCCTCATCCAGTTTAGGAATTCCACCTTGACGGTGTCGGTTTCGAACCCTCATACGCTATCGCATGCAGGACAGTCCCACCCGACCAGCATACTTGCTTTTCTATGAGCGATAGTTTTTCGCCTTAGCAACTGATCAAATGACGTTCATTTGATCTTTATAGAAGAAGGAGTTTTCACTGTTTGCTAACCGCTTTCATATCAGACTGCCTATTCTATAAGCAAGAAATGAACACTATGCAATGTCTGCCTACTTGTTCTAAAATTTACTCGAAAATTTATTTTATTTGGCATGACAGCACTTATTGGGGTATTAATAAAACGATTCACTTATTCACTTTTTATTTAAATCGCAGCATCTACAAGTCGAGAATCCAGTTACAGGAAGTTACTCTTGTTTATGACCGTTTCCAGCCGCACGCTCCCTTTGGCGTTTCACGACGATGTCGTCCTATTTCGAAAAGTTTTCCTATATGTCCGCTGACTTTTTAGGTCTACCTGCATTGGAATTCATTACCTTATTAGGTAATGACAGAATATGACAGCGAAATTCCCGACTCATTATCACGTCAAAAAAAAACAAAACAAAGGATGAAATTTGCAGCAATAAACGACTCGGCTGCGCAGAAGCAAACACTCATAACGCCAAGTGTGACCACCGTCGATGAGTGTAGGAGCCGCTAGGCTGGTGGTTTTTTTTACAGCTCGACCGTCGCTTTCGACAATGTCCACCGTGTGCTCCACAGCAAGGCGGAGCAGGGACGGTGACTTGGGCATGAGTTAGTTCATAGTGATAGTAGACTTGCGCAACATCTACCGCACTCTCTCTTCCACACTCCCCGCCAGGAGCCGGTGTAAAGACAAAGTCCAGAAGACCGGGGGTGGGGGAGGGCGCAGGTGGCTGGCACGGCCAGAGCCGCACCTAGGCGTTCCACCACGCCCCCTGATCCACACATTAAATGACCAGGACTTTTCGCCAGCAACAACAGCAACACCCCAACAGGGGCCAGAGTGACGAGGATGTCTGTGCAGCCATGCCCACCACCTGTGTACCTAGCGGGAGCGCAAGCGCATTTGCCGGCAGGGAACCAAATGTCATGGAACTGCTAGCGCATACCAGGCTACGAGGGACATGGCTTGCTGATACCGACATAGCTTCCTACTTGTACTTGATACGGCTTCGATCATGCCTGATCAATCCAATTCACACCATCACCTGATCGCCTGCTGTATGCACTATTCTCGGATCATTCCTAAGAGGAGGATGAGTCTCAGTTTCATTAAGTGTCAGAAGAAAGTGATTAATTCCGGTCATCAGGCGCAAAGAACACAGCGGGAAGGCTGCCTGCATAGAGGGCGTACAGTGGTCAAAAATGCTACCGTAGCGGGTATTCTCCGCCTTGAACCCCAGTCCAGATGGTCGTCGACGGAACTGTACAAACTCTTGCTCACGTCAGAAAACCCCGAGGTTGAGCCTAGAAGTCAGAAAACCTGGACCTACTCGTTTCCTTTTAAGTTTCTGAATTTCGTAGAATCATCGGATAGGCGGCGGAAGCGAAGAGAGAAAGTTTGAGGATACTGAAATGTAAAGAATACTAAGAACGCGGATATTCATATTCAGACAAACCCAACGAGTACAGCGCCGCGCGAAGTCTACTACTTAAATCGTTTCCCATATCAAATGATCTGCTGTTGTGGCGAAGTAGAACACGACCATTTGTTAACGTGGAGGAGAGAGAGTGAGAGCCCACTGTGTGACATAAAAGTGGCCGAGGTCAGACACCTGGTTCAAATTCATACGCGCAAGCTTTGGCGGTCACAGATGTAGGCAAACCTAGTCCAGTCGCACGGAGCCGCGTACTACGGGCGGGTGATATCCGTGTGAACAGATGACAGGCAGATGTGTGGGCCAAAGTTGAATCGAGAGTCGCGGTGGAAGGTCATGATCACTAAGATCGGGGATTTAGGGCTGCAGAACCAGGACATGTAGGAGGGGACGGTAAAGAAGACAACGATGTTGTTGATG